ACCACTTCTGAAATTAAGACATTCATAAAAATAAAGTCAAGTGAAATTTATAATTTTAAGAAAATAATTCTTCTTTAAGTTATTTTTGAAATTGAAAATCTTATATTCTTCAGAAATTTAATTGAGGGGGCGAGTTATGTGCTTCGTCCCTTCTGAAGTTCAGACATTCTTTCAGAAAAAGTCAACTTAAATTGATAATTTTAGAAAGAAAAAAAAAATTTTTTTTTTTCATTTTCAAGTTATTTTCGAAATAGAAAACTTTATTTTACTCTGAATTTTAATTGTGGGGCGAATAATGTGCTTAGCCCCTTCCGAAATTCAGACATTCGTGAAAATAAAGTGGAAGAAGTTGCTTTTTTTTTTTTTTTNTTTTTTTTTTTTTTTTTTTTTTTTTTTTTTTTAGTACTTACAACTTTCTATATATTAAACGAAAGAAACATTTTTAAAAACAAAGAGCTCCAAAAGAAAAAAAACACACCACATGAAAAATAAATCAAGTGTTGAGAAAACTAAAATAATTTCATCTCTTTTACCCTTCCCTCGAAAAAGTTTAAAAAAATTTATCCCTCGCTGACAAAAATTGGTTCTAAATGCTCCCTTGACTTTCAGATATTATACCACTCACAAATCATATTACTCGTATAGTTATTTGACTCTTCAAAAATCGCATTTCACACTATGAGAAAAAGTCCTTTTTCCTTCTTTAAATCACCTTTAACATTTTTATGGCCCTGGGCTCCTTTGTCCTCTTTTCAAATAACGACAGAACCATATCTTATTTGGATATCTCTTCATTAATTGTCTCAAACAACAATTATCTAGATTTAAAAAAAAAAAGAAAAAAAAAAGACGCTTTAAGCTAGGGGATTTAAACTGGGGAAAACTTTTATTATTTAACACATTATAACTAATACATTATTTAAATTATATATTTTAAATTAAAGCATAATTTTTTTTTTGTTATTTAGTAATTATAATTTTTTTGTTATTTAGTTTAATTGTAGAATTATTTGTTTGCTTGTTTTATTGCTCTTTTTTTAAATTTTTTTTATTGTTCATTTAATACATTATTTGTAACACGAATCGTACCATCAATAATTCCAATTCTTAGTAAAGTTTCTCCTCGGGTACCAAGAAAACGTACGATAAGATTCCACAGAAGGTAAATTAAAAATGCTTCAATTTAAATCATTTACTACTTTTACAAATGTGTATTTATATACTGTTAGAATTTTTCTTTAATTGTTCCCATAATAATTGTTTTTATTAATTGTGGGGCGAATAATGTGCTTAGCCCCTAATTGTTTTTATTATATTCGTTTATCAAGTTCATTTATAAAGTATATTAGTTCATGATTTTTTTTGTATAGATTTAGTTCATTGTTTGTGTATAGATTTGTGTGTAAATAGATTTGTTTTAAATTTTTAAAATTGTTGAGGGAGAATTCATTGCGCTTTTAAACAATTTTGTTTCCATTCAAAAATTAAATGCAACCTTTATTTCTATATATAAAAAATCCCATTTAGTTTAATTAAAAAATATTTAATAATAAACATTTTATTTTATAATAAAAACTATAAACATTGTTTCGTTGAGAATAGATAAAAATATAACATCACTCATCTTTTAACGCAAATCATTTAAGTAAATCACGGTTTCCCAGTCAATAAAAATTAATAAAAGAAGTTTTTTGAAATAAAATATTCTTTTAATTGTTTTTTCGATTATTCCTTCTACTTTTAGAGAGACATTCTAATATAGTTCTTGATAATCACCATTATCTTAATTTTATTGAAATCAATTTTCAAGTCTTTTGCTGTCATTACACAAAAGTGTTATATGTTGCAGTTTTATATACTTAAAATATATATTATATATGAGATTTATTTTATTTCTTTTCTAATCTTTTAAATCAACTATTTTATTTTTTTCTTAGATGATAATCCCATTATGTAAAGCGGAGCTAAAACACCAAATACGTTATACATTTTTTACTTCCTGTCATGTAAAATAAACCATATAAAAAAAAGCCTTTGTACAAAATAATTTATATAAATCATAAACATTTGTACAAAATTTACAATACAAAAACTGAAGCAAATTGTTTCGTAACATTTGAATAATTAATTTGAAATCTAGTGTACGATTTTTTTTCTTTTTCCGTTTCAGTGGAATGTGATGATTAAAACTATTGCATTTGTTTAAAACTATTTCAGATAACTTTTGAAAATTTAGTTTCGAATTTGTTCTACCGGATTGAAATGGTAGATTACAGCAAAATTTTTATTCCTTCAGTTTTTAAGGGTATTTCATTTATAAGAATAACACGGTTTAATAAATATTTGTGATAATGTACCTGATCTTCTACAAACTTTTCGAATAAGTTGTAAACGAAAAAATTCGTATAAAACTTTCTTTTACCTTTCGCTTGTTTTGGGCCAGGGATGGGCAAACTACGGCTGTTCTAACATAATTTATTGCACACATATTACATTATTGTAAATAATGAAAGTTATTAAATGTATGAAATAGCTAATACTTGTTTAAGTTACTTGCAAAATTTTTTATCCCTGAAATAACTACTAAAAACGCAAAGTTGATTCAGAGTGAGGTGTGCTCAATGATGAATGGACTAGGATATATTATTTTACAGTTGTAAAAAATAAACTAGTATGCTTTATCTGCAATAAAGCTGAAGCAGTTTTTAAAGAATACATCGTTAACCGACATTTTACAGTCAAGCACAAGAATGTAAACTACGAAGCAATGCCTGAATGTGAACGAACACAAGATGCAAAAAGTCTTTTAAAAGAATTATCAAGTCGACAATGCTTTTTCAAGATGATAAACAGTCCAAGAAGCAGCTATGAATACAAGTTACATTATAGCAAACAATGTTGCTGAAAATAATAAATCTTTCGGTGATGGCGAGTTTGTTAAACAATGTATGCTCCAAGTTTGTCGTCCAGATATGAAAAATAATTTTGAAACTGCAACTTCTAGAATCGAAGCCATCAATTAAATTTTGACATCACAATTTGAGTAAAAAATTGCACGATTTATATTTTGCTCAATAGCTATGGATAAAAACACAGGTATAAATGATACTGCTCAATTAGTGTTATTTATAAAAGCTGTTGATGAGAACTTTGACATTACCGAAGAACTGGCGTGCATGCGCTCTTTGAAGGGAACTATATTGGGACATGATATTTTTCGTGAGATTCAGGAACGACTTTTAAATTTGAAAGTGTCTGTTTCTTTCACAGATCTTTTTCGTCATATGAACAACTTGAATATTAAGATGTAATTGATCAATGATATCTGGGCCCATCTTAAAGCGAAGCTTACTTTGTTCGCCGGGCACCTAACTAAAAACGACTTGTCTCATTTCTCCAGGCTAAATTCAATACCCTCAGGAAAAAACTCAAATTTCTTGCACGAATAAATACTGATGGATTATTCTAAACGTAGGGGTGCACAATCTGTAGCTCGCAAGAGCTTCTGAACACATTTTTTCCCCCTTTCTTTTATTTGAATAGCAAATTTGAGTTATGACTTCTTAATGCACTCAATTTGCAGATTCTATTGCAAAATACAAATCTATATTGTTTCTCAATCACTTTTTTAACGGTTATCACTATTTCTTACTATATATTCTAAAAGATTCTCGGTGTATATTGCTCAGAAGCAGAGTAATGTTCATAGTAGAATCACGGTTAAGCTATTTTCTCATTTTAATGGACCTGATAGCATTTTGTCTAGTATTTCCCAAATTATTTCATTACCTAAAGATCAAACTTATAAAGATATGTACTCAACATTGTAGGACAGTAAATATATCTAAAAAATTGCATTCTAAGGTTAATAGAATTTTAAATTATGTACACTCTACTAACCTAACTCACTGTTTCACTAATTTAATATTTTTATTAGTATATTACAAGGACCTTTATTACAGAAACATTATCCTCGATTATTCTTTACACGTTAGCAAATTATTTCAATAAAAGTGGATTCCAGTTTGTTTATTGAAATTGTTAATTAATAGTTGAAAAAGTTTATATGAAATACTTTTAAACTTTAATTTGGGACATCTATTTCGGCTCAACTGGAGTATATATGTTGATTTCTAGTGTTAGTGTAACAAAAATCGGTTGGAAAGGAATACACTTTGTATACTGTATATAATAAGAGACTTTATTTGTTCAACACCGCACTAAAGCTACAATTCGTTTTTAAAAAACTTAAGTTCCCTCAGGCATTTAAAAGTCTTATAATTATAGGAAAATTTACATCTTTATAATCTAACTCCAAATATAGGGAAACTTAATTTATCATTAAATTAAATCTCAAATAATTTAGAGCAGGAAAATATAAGCTCTTTATTAAAATCAGCTACTTAACTATCTTGGATATAAGTTACAAGTATATAGTGTAGCACTTTTTTGAAGAACTATCTTGGCTTTTATGTTTGTTAATAGATTCAAGATTTCACAGTTGTCATTTAATTAAGCTTTCTTATTTCCAACAAAAATTTCGAGTATTATTTCTATAAAATTTTTTTTTTAGAAGTTTACAGTGATAGCTTTAAATTGGAATTAACTTGAATACTGTAACATAGTCACAGAAGCTAAAATTATGACAGCTATTACTTTTTTCTAGCAGTGACAGATGAAAAATCTAGATGGATAGTGGATACTTTTCCTCTTCTTTATCATTGTAAAATATTGTTTCTTAAGAGTAATTTTTGAAGGAAAAATAATTACATCTTCTTTTAAAATTTAATAAATCAATGAAGCATATTTAATAATTTTTTATGCTAACGGAACAAGTCCTCTCTTAAAGAAAGTATATTTTAATTATAAGATTATGTAGTTTGCATTCTTAATAAAAATGAGAACTAATGCAACTCTTTAAAAAATCTTTTGACTACTACCAACACATCACTTTAGAGTATTAAAAATGCAAACTTGCTAAAAATTACAGGACAACACAGTCGTTTTTGCATAAAAATCAAACAAAGATATATTTATTATACAAAAATCACATTGTAATAATTTTCTCCATTTGAAATTGAGTACAAAAGTTAAGAATGAACATCTTTACAAAAATTAGAATATTTCTTCCTATGGATCAAACTTTTATCACAGAATACAGATACTGGACAGTGGATTTTGTAGAACAGTTGACTAGAAGAATAGCTGCTATCTCCAAGGTCTCCAAAAGGTCCTCTCCGTAGGCATGAAAAAAAAAAGACAAAGCAATTAGTAACCAGTTTCCACATCACCCAGGGGGTATGGTTATACAGATGCGTTGACCCCTTTTATTAGGCAGTTCCATATATATTTAAAAATATCCCAAAATTACAGAACTTTGCCTTCCCATAAATAAAAAATAATCTTCCACAAAAAGCAAAATGATCAAAATATTTCTTAATGCTCACTAAATTTTAACCCGTAAATTAAAAGACTTAAAATTACATAGTTAATTAACATTAAATCGGATAAAAATTATTATAACCCGATATGGAACAACCTAACAGCATGTAGCAAGGCGGGTTCCCCAGGAGGCATATATTCCTTTTGTGCCATAACCATTGATAATATTTACTACCAACAAAAAATTTTAAACTAAAAAAGATATTAACTTATAACTATTATTAACCAAAAGATACTAACCAATTAATTGCTTTTAAGTAATGGATATGGCACCATACAGCAAATCACCATCTATCTTATCCCAAATAACAATGGACAAATATTACTTAATACTTTTAACACAACCTGAAGAGTTTTGCAACTTAAAATTAAAGTTCCTTTAATATTTATAATTAAGAAGGCCTATAGTCAACTAAATATGGATTGCTCTGCCTCGCATTATATTTAGATGAAACATAAATGGTGAATCACTGTTAATAAAATCAATAACATTAATAAAAAAAAATAGCCTTTAATCACCTTAATATTTTAGTGTAATCTTATAATTAATTTATGATACTATAAATAAAATCTAATTAATGCATATGGCCCTGCCTACATGTACTACATGAAATAGATTCGACTGATGGAGTGTACCTAACATTACTTAAACAATTACCTGAAATTATAGCATACATATAACGACGAAATTCTACAGTGTTAAATTTATCAGTTACATTTTTATTATCTAACAGTCTACTAATGAAATATGAAATAAATACACCACAATTCATTGCATCTTCCTGCTTTGTATGGAAAGGATAAAAGACAGGCCATTGGTTACTTTCTGACATTATAATATTTAATTGGGCCCTCCACAAATCCAAAACTGTAATGTACCGATCTTCATTCCCAAAACCTAAAGGATCATAGAAATTAAACTTACGCTGTCTTAATTTAACAACTAATAAAACCCAGTGTTGATATAAATTAATTGGTATAAACAAATAATCACGCCCCTGTAGTTTATTTAAATTAAAAGCATTGGCAAGACTACCCCCACTAATTAAGACTTGAGAATGCATACAAGAGGCTGCTAATGAATTTTTATCCTGCAAAATTTTGGAATTAAAGGCATCAATAATACTGTCATACAACCAACCCCTAACAAAAATCGATGAAGATTTTACTAAATTTTCAATCTCTCTTTCAGATATGAACGGGTCTAAAGATTTAATTTCATAAAAATGCAGTTGTATATCAGATACACGCAAAACTATCTCACTATAGTTGGAAACATAATCCATTTTGGGAGTAAAAGAACCTGTTAATTTCTTGCACACTTCATCTTTACTATCAATAAATATAGAATTATCTTCGTCTAAACAATTGCGAGCTAATCTTTTAAGAAAATCATTAGGATATCCAACAGCCTTTCGCTTTGGTTTTCTAGACGTACGCTTAAAAACTAATTGCTTATCTAAATGTCGATTGGGTGAAATATTCAATGTAGGAGAAAAACTCTGCAGTTTTTTAAGTTTATCTTGCCCTTGCAATCCCTCACATAAAGAAATCAAATTTTTTAAACTATTATTTATGAATGGTAAAATGGTGCTCTGAATAGTCTTATCTTGTACTAAACTACCTAACCTAGTCAACAAAATACTGTTTTCTTTCATTTTAGCCTCCACATCCGAATAAGAATTAAAAGCTGTCCCTTTTGAGCCTACAATGGTAGGAGGGAATTCTGAGTGGCCCAAAGTAATATTTGTCAAAACCAACTCTCTATTTTCATTTGCATTTACTTTAACATTTATACTTGATTCATGCTCTTGTAAAGATTCTTCTATTTCATCATCATTTGCTTTAACATCCTTTAAAATATGGTTTGGTAAAGGTGCTGTCTTTTTGTCTTCATCTGTGTCAATGTCTTCTTTTGAACTAAGCTCAATGAATGGGATTTGTCGGAAACTTATAGAATGTATTTTATGTATATGCTTGCAAATAGGATGATTATCTAGGCATTCACATTTATACATATGCATACAAAGATTTAAACAGGGCAATTTAATACACTTTGTGTAACACTCACTAATACTAAGACATTCTTCCCTAAGTTTTGCTATTTCATACTTAATTTTAATATTATTCTGAGACTTCACTAGCCAGGTATTTTCTGTAATTTTTTCAACATCTTCGTCTTTTATCTTCATTCCATCATAATGTCGCTTATAATATGTAGGAGGGTATGAACAGTGCGGAATACCCGTTGTCTTCTTTAACGTATGCTCTGAATATGTATCTTCTTCTATCTTTAATAAAGTATTTATTAAAACATCTACCCTTCGATTGAATTTACGCTTTAAATAATGTGTCTTTAATTTATTGTGAAAAGATTCGCAGTACATATTTGTGTCAGTATTCGCATGCGGAAATTGACGATGACACATACTCCAGAGAGGTCTTCTATCTTTCGTACAATAATTATCAATAAAGTAATTAACAAATATAGGTGCCTTGACAATATATCTTCTTTTGAAATAATCTATCATATCATTAAATTTATTAATGGATGGCTCTTCTAGAATAGCAACTAAACAGGCATATATTTCTTTCTTCATTGTTATATCTGAAACAGAAGAATTTAATTTCCTATTCCAAGCCCTATGGATATGCCATTTGCATAAAAGATGGTGAATATTACTGCCAAAAACTATCTGAAATGCAGGGCCAGTAGTCTTGTCATCATCTGTCATAATATTTGATACCTGTAAGTCTTGGACCCTGTCTTTAATGCTGGTAAAACAACAAATCATTATATCTTTATCTAATTTACTAACAATAAAATGTGCAACCGCATAACCACATCCATATTCATCCTGGACCAATAAATTAAGTAAATAAAAATCATGCTCATTAGTTTTATGTGTGGAATCAATACACAAAATTTTGTTACCATTAATTTTCAGCATTTTGTTTTGTTGGGCTGTCTGTATACCTAAAACAAATGAATCTTGGGGTAAGTTAATTTTTACATCCGTAGGACCTAAAACAACATCTTGAAATTGAGGTTTATACAAGAGGACAGGATTATATTTCCACTGCGTCATATTGTTTACCAAAAGATGGACAGCCATTGCATCATCTTTATGAAGTAATGAAGAGGACCTGACAGTATCATAATAATATTTTAATTTACTGTTCGTAAGAAGTGACTCCTTAATAATTAAATCATTTTCATCTCTCATATTCCGATCAACTCGAACACTATCAATAACCTTAGAAGCTGGGATTCCTAGTTGAGCACTTGCCTTAACAAAATTTCGAAATGTCTTCTTAAGATGTTGGAACTTAATATTTTCTTCGCTCAATGCATGATTATGGTTAGAAAAGTACTGAACAGCAATTCCATCTGGTTTCTCACAACAGATTATTCGGGCCATACAAGCTACATCGGTAGGTATAACTCCTTTTACATTTTTTCTACTAGTCTTTCTTTCAGCTACTTTTTTCAATGATCTGGTAAATTGGCAAGTGTAGTATGAATAGAAACTTTTTCCATCATTAGAAATCTTTCTTAAAATTTGAATATGTTCTTGTAGATTCATTATCCAAATTCAAACTTTGCATATCTTTTATGTTGCATAGTGCTGAAAGAAGTAAAATACACAATGCATGTAAACTTTCGCAGTTTATCTTTAACTAAAAAGAAATAGCAATATGTNACCATGCTCATCAATACTATGCTTTATGGCATGCAAAACAAAACGAAACCTGTAATTACACTCATGATACGGACAAGGGTATGCAAGATTAGGACAACAATTACTATGTCGAATTAAATGGGACTTAAACGGAAATGTCTTTGAACAACTATCGCATTTTAGAGTCTCACAACTCTCATTATCCAAAGTTGCAGGAAGAGCTGAATTGCAGTTTTTACGATGGTTACTAAATGAAGACGAGGAATGGTAAGTTTTCTTACATAAAGCACAATACTTTTCATAAGCAGTTTTGGGAGCACCACCACAACAAGAATAGTTAGCTATATTAACTAATAAATGCTTACTAAATATATCTAAATAACTAAAACTATAACCTGACACTGACCAAACAGGATACCTTAAAGAAGTAACTAGAGGGGAATGAGAATTATAAAAAAATGAATGAGTTATATAATTAGCATAACTTAAACTATAACTATCTAAAACTGATTGTTTGAGAATACTTGAAGAAAATGTCTGATTTGCATAGTAATGAAACAAAAACTTAAAACTATTATCATCTAAATAACCTAAACTATAACTATCAGATGTTAACAACAAACTTGGACTTACTTGAAAGGAATGCATACAGTCACTGTCTTTTAAGCAAATGCAATTTTCACAATTATGCCTGTGTGTAAGATAACAAAGAAAAATAAGTAAAAGACAATGCAAAATATAGATTGCAAAGATCATCTAAGTAAAAGGGAAAAAAAATCAAGGAACTATACTTCAAAAACCATATATATATAAAAAAATTATGTTGCATTGTGCTGAAAAAAGTAAAATACACAATGCATGCAAACTTTTGCACAATTTAACAAAAGTATTTGGTCGTACATTTAGAATTAAATGTACACTGTCTAATGAAGAATAATTTATTTAAAAAAAAATATTTGATAACTACTAGAATTATAGTTGACTTTGGTGTCCTTAAATGATTACTTACACTTATCATACAATGAAAAAGTAAGGCAGTAAAAGGATGTATAGTAAATGAGGGAGAAGAAAAAAATCCTGAACAGCAGTTCAAAAGAATTGGAGAAAAAAGAAAATAACACTAACCCAGAAACTGAACAGCCAGAAGTAGTACTTTCTTCCTTAGCAACAGTTCTCCTAGACTTATTGCGACTGAAATAAATAAATTTATATGTAATAACATATTTTTAAACATACATATGAAGTCTTCTTATACATTCAAACAAAGGCAATTTATCGTATATTTGGAACAATTGTGCCTAACAGGAAAATTCTTATCTACACTTTCAAAGAATTAGAAAAAGAAGAAAATAACACTAACCCAGTAACTGAACAGCCAGAAGTAGTATTTTCTTCCTTAGGAACAGCTCTCCTAGACTTATTGCGACTGAAATAAATAAATGTATATGTAATAACATATTTTTAAACATACATATATTTATTATGAAGACTTCATATACATTCAAAGGCAATTTATTGCATGTTTGGAAAAATTGTGTCTAACAGGGGATAAATCTTTCATTTAAAATTCTTATCTACACTTTCAAAGAATTAGAGAAAAAGAAAGCAACACTAACTCAGAATTTGAACATCCAGAAGCAGTCTTTTCCTTCTTTGCAACAGTTCTAGACTTATTGCGCCTGAAATAAATAAATGTATATGTAGTAACATATTTTTCAACAGACATATATTTATTATGAAGTAGGTCTGGTAGGTATACATTCAAACAAAGGCAATTTATTGTATGTTTGGAACAACTGCGTCAAATGTATAAAAATATATAACATCCACATATATAACAAACATACACATATATAAACTGCACGTATGTATAGAAAGTCTTCTACATCTACAATTAATTGCAGATGTAGAACTAACAAAAGCATTAANAAAAAAAAAAAAAAAAAAAAAAAAAAAAAAAAACATTTAAAAAACTACTGCACATATTCTTGGCTCTGGCATTGGCTTCTTCACATTCATAAGGGGAAAAAAAAATCTACAAAGCAAAATGATTAAACAGAAATGAGCAAAATTCTGAACAATACTTAGAAAGCATTGGAGAATGAAGAAAATAACACTAACCCAGAAATTGTATCTTTAGATCCCGCATTCTTTACTTTTGTAACAGAACAATCCCTTCTCTTAGACTTTTTGCCATAGAAGGAGGCAAACCTATAAATATAAAGAGGTGGCTTCAGTTTACAAAAACAAACAGTTGTAGATGGACGAATTGTAAATGGAGAATATTTACAAAAAGAAAAAAATATTTAGAGACAACTGGATTTGTTCTAGACTTTTGCAAAATAAAATGCTACCTTATATCTATAACACAATGAAAATCTACACAGTAGAACAATGAAATAGAAAGGAGAACCTTTAAAGGAAGGAAGAAAAAAACTTACTGAGAAACTGTACAATCAGTATCAGCATAGTCTTCTTTAGCTCCAGAACAAATCAATCCTTTTGGGCATGGCACTTCCTCACACCTATAATACAAAACAATCACTCATAGCCAGTAAATATAAAATCTTGTCATAAGCCCAACACTAATAAAAAAAATATAAAAAAACCAAATCATTTATTAGTTCTCATAGAACGAATATTAACATTAACTTGATAAACTACACTAATAAACATAAAATGTCACTTACAATGATGAAAATTTTTGTCCTTTGCATCCACGCCTAGAAGAGAATTAATAAATAAATTATAGCCTCCATTAAACCTTAAAAACCAGTAAACAAATCACATATAATATAAATACCTTCGGCCAACAAGAGTCCAGCCTGAACTGCTGTTACATTTAGCCTCACTATGCAATTCAGTGGCAAGGGGCAAAATAACAGATGTGGGTGGTTCATCTGTACTCGAATCCTTAGCTTTATCCGTTTCACAGGGAAGATCAGAAACAGGAATAGCCCTAAAATCATTATCACAATATTAACATTCGAATTAAAATGATGGATTAATATAAATGCGATTAATCTTAATCATATTACTTATTATTTGCATTAACAGAAAATACCTTGGTTATTAGCTTTACTAGCAATAAGCTAATACCACATAATTAAAACTAAATTGTGTTACTGAACTTGTTTGCTGACAAGTGCAAATTTTAAAAAATAGCACCAAAGGTTCATAAACTATTTACCTCTTTAAACCTCTCTTTAAAATGGCAGAATAAAGTTCTTGCTTTCTTTCCGCCTTTGGTGTCTCTGAGTGCTGAGCGACTTTGAGTACAGGTGTCTTAGACAAGGACACTACTAAACACAATAATAAATCAAAATCTATAAGATGTAAAACCAAATAAAAACCATAGACCTCACACACACACAGCTTGATAAATCACAACAAATTCTTTGGTCAGATAACCTCATCAAAACAATGTCTGAAATTTTGACAACAATATGAAAGAAACCTACCTACACAATAAGTATCTTTGCTTAATAATAAGTCATAATCAATATAATATAGCTACATAATTACATAAAACTAATTTAAGCTTCAAATTTAAATCTTTTAAAGGGATTACATTCAAAAACCTACCACTTGAAGAGATTATAAAACTAAACACTACTACCTAGTAGTAATTAAAACTTAAAATACTTAGTACTTAAAATTTATAAGCCAAGTTTAGCGTAAACTAACATTTTAATATAACAAACTAAAATAAAAACTTACATGTCAGCAACCATTCTACCAAAGAAAAATTATATTTAACCACTCTCAAATATAAACAAAATAATTAATCTATAAACTTATGTTAAACGCTATTAGCAAGAACAGATATGAAAAAAGTAGACCATTTTAAGCCTCACACATAAAAAGCAATTCAATTCATAAAAATATACATTAAATATTTTCTTCAAAAAATACTAAAGGAAACACACGTCAATACAGAAAAAAAAATTGGAAATAAAATGATACAACACTCTACAGACCTGTTCTCTCAGTTTTGCATTTTAAAAGCCATGCAAAGTATCCAGACAAAATAACAGTCATGTACTCAGCAAAGATCTCATTTCCTGTCCTATCAAAATGCACACCATCACGCCCTAGGTATCTGTCCCAATTGACTTTAGGAGAACAGCAAAAGTGGAGATTTGCATTCCTCACGGCTTCATTACTTAGCATTTCATTTAAGGCTTCAACATTAGAATTCCAGTTTCTCAATCTCCGCCTTTCAGAAAGCCGTCGTTGAACTGGTAAAAAGCCATTTGGTCTTCGTTTGAATATTTTGGTGATGAAAATCTGACAGTTTGGATTCTCAACCTCCACTTCCTTAAGTAACTGCTGGTATGCAGAGAAATTTTCTTTGGCGTCTTTATCACAATCATTTGAACCTGAAATTAAAACTTTTTAATTTAAATTTGGACTGACCTATCACTACTTAGGTAATGTTTCAATAGGATACATAGGAAATTAAAATTATTCGGTTCATTTGTCATTACATTCCTGGTATTCACTATTAAACAAAAATTATCACAATGTAAAAATAAATTTTAAATTATAAAATGCTAATAATAAACAGCAATAATCCAAATTAAACCAATACCGATAAGTTACTTACCAATATGAAGGACAACAACACCAAATCCATTTACCTCTTTTACCTTCTCAATCAAACCTTTTATCTTAAATCCAGGGAAACTCCTTACATGTACCTTATGCCCCATAACATTATCAGGTATGTGGGGTCTTAAATACTTACACATGGAGTCACCGATGATTAAAACCTTCATCTCGCTAAAAAAATTATATATGAAAAAAAACAATCATCATCATAAGCCATGTAATAACAAATATATAAAAATCATAATATATTAGTTTTTTAAGCACATAGTAGTTATTTAGACTTAGTATTATAGTGATTACTCCAATCAAATTGGAGCTAAAAAATAGATCATCAAACTAAATAGATTATCACTTTTTCCCAGTAAAATTCTTGCCCACATCATTGGA